ACTTCATGCATTGTTTGCGATCATATCTATCGCATGCCCTCCTTCATCTCCAACAGATCTATGGGAGAAATATAATTCGCACATGACTGAGATCATCTTTCGTTGACTACGCAAGGAAAGTTCAAATGTGGATTTGGCAGTAGAAATCTACAACGGGGACGTTAATAATGATTGAGGATGGGTGCGTAGAAATCGCGAACAAAGGTTTTAATCAACTGGGAGTGTCATCACTACACGGATCTGTTACTGCATCGTTAGATGTGGATTTACGCCATGAGCAACACAGGTACCGGAAACAACGGAAATCCCTTATACTGAAGATGATAAACGGAGGACGGCAGTAAATTGGCAAACGAACAAATGCGAACCGCTGCCATACAAGCAGATAACCACTAGATTATTCCATATTCGCCTTTGCTTCTAAAGCATACAAAGCGCACATAAGTGTGGAATACTGCAATTCTGTGAAATTAATTAAATTCATTTGTAATTAGGTGAACAAATGCAACGACATGATCATTTTTGGACTGCAACCCGACAGGAGTGAAAGGGATGCGGATATACAACTTGATAAAATCGTACAGTACCGCGCTGGAAGTCACCTCAGCAGAGACGAAGCTGTGTGGCGAATTCCTTCATTTCGCAGCTTTTTTTGCTTGGCAGTACACTTAGAGAATCGGCAAAGTTTTTACTTTACAGCTGCAAATATGCAACAGGTTGACGTCGGTCCACCGACAACAACATTAACTGCTTTGATTAGAAGAAGCGATCGCTGGGACAAGGGTTTTATTTGTCTGACGTTTAGAAATCTCATTTGAAACCATCATCAGAGACAGTGGCAGAAACGCGCTCCAATCAGCCCGACGATGGGAAACGTTTGCCCTTCGACAGGACTCTGCTTAAAAACTGCCTTCTTCACGTTATGCTAAACGGACACATTTGAGAAAACACTGCTATATTCGGAAGTGCCCACGTACTGCACATGGGATGCGTGTATAAAATCGTTCGTAGGGCTCAAACGAGGAGAGCGAGTCCACGTACACATTGGCATATCCAAAGGAACTGCGATAGGCAGACTGTACACCGTGCATCCCAATCAGGACGAGTGCTTCTTTCTTCGCAGGCTCTTGGTGAATGTGCCCGGTCCAAGGCATGCCACTTTCCGCAGTGCATGTCAGGCTCTCAATTTATCAAAAAGCGACCTGCACTGGAATGTATGCATTAACGGTGCGTGTGACACGTCCCATTCACATCACATTCGTGCATTGTTTACAATCATATTCAGCGCCTGTTCTCCTTGATCTCCAACAGATTTATGTAAGAAGTATAAATCGCACATGGCTGAATACAGCTTCCGTCGACTAAACAGGGGAAAGTCCAGTGTAGATTTCACAGCTGAAATCCACAACTAGGCGTTAATAGTGATTGAGAATATGTACGTAGAAATCGCGAACGAAGTTCTTAGTTAACTGGGAATGCCATCACTAAACCGATCTGCTGCTGCTGCTTCCTTAGATGTTGATTTGCACAGTGAGCAAAACTAAAACATCTACAAAACCTGCAATCAAACATTCCTAAGCTAACACTAGAACAGAATGACATTTATGATAAAATAATGCGGACCGTCAATAACGGGGTTGGAGGAATCTTCTTCTTAGATGCGCTAGGGTAGGGGGCTGGCAAACGGTTCTTAATGAGACTGCTTCTGGCACCAATTCGATCCAATAATGACATAGCCTAAGCATTTGCGTAGTCCGGAATAGCTACGATCTTGCCACCCGGCGGAAGAACTGTTCATTCGGATTTGAAACTGCCATTGAACGTGCAGTGCATGGATATTCTCACGTGCAACATTTCCAAGGCATCCGGCATGGGAAAAGTACTGCAGAAATGTAAAATTGTTTGGGATGAATGTACAATGGCGCACAAGGAAGCGCTCAAGGTCCCTGATCGATCACTGTAAGTTTGCGCGCAAACAGCAGACCCTTTGGAGACGCATGGCTACTGCTTGCAGGAAACTTCAGGCAAACACTGCCTGTGATTCATCGATGGGCACCAGCGGGCGAAATGAATGCCTGCCTGAAAAAGGCTCCTTTGTGGTGCCAGGTCCAGACGACGACATAAACTACAAATATGCGTGTGCAGCTGCAAAACGCCCGAACAGCTGAGACACTCTCACACACATTGCTTGCTATTGGGAACAGAACGGTGTCGATTGATCCAACTTCAGGACGCATTTCACTACCTCTTACCTTAGGGAATTTAGTGTCGTTAAGAGAAGAATTGATTGAAAGGATATTTCCCAATATTCAAACCAATTACACTAATCATGATTAACTGAGCGAACGAGCTACTCTTGTGGCAAAGATGTCTACGAACTTAACTACATTATTCAGTGCAGGATTCAAAGTGAGGGCGTCACATGTACGCCCGTCATCACCGTTGTGGAAGCAGAGGAGGCAGTTAATGATCCTGCAGGACTTTTGAATTCAAGTGATCTGCCAGGGATAGTGCCGCACGTACTGCAATTGAAAATCGGCGTGTTGATTATCACATTGCGAAATAACAACAAGCCGGGGATTTGCAACGGTATACGGGTTGCAGTAACAAATAAATGAGCAACGTCTTGGAAACAACTATCTTGACAGGACCCTTCAAAGTTCAACATGTCCTTATTCCTTGCATTCCACTGTTTCCGACTGATGTGCCATTTCAAGTTAGGAGACTTCAATTACAAAATTTGATTGGCATTTGCAATCACCGTCAACAAAGTCCAGGGGCAATCTTTAGAACTGTGCAGTCTGGATCTGCAAAAGGATTGTTTATCACATGGCCTATTGTATGTTTTTGCTCCAGAGTCGGCAAACCAGACAATCTCTTTATCTGCACAGACAATGCAACAACAAAATACACTGCATGCCCACAAGCATTATGAAATTAAACGTATTACAAAGCATGCCCTTTCCTTTTTCCTGTCTTTCCCATTTCATGGAATTGAGCCACAGCAACGCGTGACCGGGTCCAGCTAGTCTGTAATACAGGAACACGGTCGCACGGCGAGGAGGCTCCACCAACGGTAAAATCTCATCGAAAAGGTCAAAATGCGTGCAATTAAACATTATTTGTTTTTTGCCTCAGTCGACCCTTCCCGCTAAATCATGCTCTAAGCACAGCTCGTCAACAAAATACAAGTTAGAATGGCCTTCCAATCTCGGTCGGCCTTATTCATTTCTGCTCACCCAAATATAGGATCAACCTATTTAAGTATTCGGCTGAACCAACACACTCACACTCTCTCTCCCAAATGCAACTTCATATAAAAGGTTAAACCGTTAAAGCAAAGTCGAATTATTTTATCTTTCTGTTTTGATTTCGAAATCCTTGTGCTCTTTCCGAGCTCCTGTTAGCAATGAGTGCGCGGGTAAACACACATTTGAATCTGTAAACTTAAAACGGTCTTATTATTACTAAATTTTAGTATATGCCATGAACTAAATTATGCTATAATTCGGCGACAACCCCATAAATGTCCAAAATCTAATATTGTTATACGAATAATGTTTGCCACACTGTTGTCATTTATCCCTAGCCAATCTAATTCACTTCGCTTCCTTTACGGATTTACAACCTCGCGCAACTGGCAGTCTCCACAAAACACAACGGGATTGGCTGAGCGGGCGTGATAGACTGTAATATTCTCCCTAAAACCCGTCGGTCTCCAAATGAGCTCTGAGTGATCGAGAAAAGTTGGAACGTCGCCTTAGTTGAGGACTACCGTCATGGGAATACTGGACACCGATTTGAGTTTTTGGGTTTGTGCGCACATTACACACTGGCCCGACGCGTTAGACGTAATAAACTTGATCCTCGAAGTCTTCGGAATTTCAACAAATATTTGGGTTTTACGCATGCTGTGTCTGTTGCATGGCAAGACGCTGACAAGCCTGACATTGCTAAGAGCTCTCACTTCAACTTCGCTTATGACTCTCGTTATTCATTTTCTTGAGGACGTCTACCCCTACCCCCTGATGACCGACAATCTCACATTCAATCGTATTATTTGTATCATTTGGTACAGTCGATTTTTCTATTGGGTTTTTATCGTTATCGGAGGTCTGGTTCTGACCTACTTCACGGCTAATCGAGCCATGCAGATCGTCTGTAAATACCAGTACGCGTTTAGCTCTTCCAAGGCTCTTGAACTGGGCACAGTTGCCATAATTGTCTTCTTCAGTGCTCTGCTCACCTTGCCTCAAATGATTATCGTACAAACTGACGGGAAAAAGTGCATCTGCTCCGAGGTGCCTATAAAAGTACCAAACATAATTTGGACATTCACGGAGGTTTACCTCTTCTTTGCTGTGCTCTTCCTGCTCAACGGCATCATCCTCACAGTCTCCTGCGTGCAGGTAATTCGATGGATGTACCGGACGCAAAAGGATAATCGCATTGACACTGTGAACAGCGCTTGTTTTCCGGATACGCCACCTGAGCTGGTTGAAAAGTTTACAAGCTGCCAGGGATGGAAATCTTCATCCATGTGTATGATACCATTGACCGTCAGTTATCTGACGTGCTTCGGCTATGATTGCATCTATCAGTTCATTTGTGCAACTGGACAATGCACCTACGTAATCAATGGTCCCGCTCAGAGGTTCGGTGGCTTTCTGTTAATTGTGCACGCTGTAGCAGTCCCTATCATCATACTCATCTTCATACCAGCTCTGCGACATCGGGTTCGCTGTTTGATAAAAGGCCTCATCAGGAGAATACGAAGAACTAGAGAAACATAAAATGAAATTATCGGGAATTGACATGAAAAAACGACAACATTTAAGAGGGAAGAGGAGTTTGGTGGACCTACCCCTATCTTTGATGCTTTTCTCTTGTCAGTGAACCATCTCATAAAACGTGATCATTTTATTTTTTGAGAACCATAAAACGTTTTCATCGAAATAATATTTAAGACCAAAAATATCTGAAGATATAACTCGGTACTTTTTCACTCTGGCAAACCTTTGGGTGGTAACAGCCGGATTTTAGATACCGTGAATGACCAGTAGGGTTTGACCATCTCCGGTAATGCAGTTAATGTGTTATAAGATAGCACTTCATTTGCGGATCATTTGATGAACTGAGGCACCTCTACGTTGAAAATATTTGTAGACAAACAATTAATTTACTCATTTTTAGGCGAAAGTTGAATTGAAATAGGAAACTGGAAAATAAATAGACCTCGTTTGAGAATATATAAGTCAGTGTTTTCTAGGGAATGGAAACAGATGTGTTGATAATTGTGAAATATTCTTGATAATGTGTTCATCTGAATTCATAGATATTTTGGCAGATTTTGAATAATTCATATTGACCCAAATCTGAAAAACTCGGCGCGTCGGTGGGATTCGAACCCACGCAGTAAAGGTAAGGCTTGAGTACAGCCAATGCTCTAACCACTTGAGCTAGGAGGTCCCGCTGGACGACGCAAGTTTAATCACGTTTGGGTCAAGTTGCACGCCTAACCTACTGCAAGGTCTGGAATCCACCAAATCTGATACAGTTAGTTGACTGCCCAAGTAAGATTTCCTAAGTAATTCGCCCAGAATCCAACGGATGACTACTAGGCTCACGTAATTTATAGATATTTTGGCAGATTATGAATAATTCATACTGAATTCATATTGAATTATTCAAAGTCTATGAATTACGTGAGTCTATTAGTCATCTTGTGGATTCTAGGTGAATTACTTCGGAAATCTTACTTGGGCATTCAACGTACTGTATCAGATTCGGTGGATTCCACACGTGATTTAATTCGCGTCGTCCGGCGGGGCCTCGTAGCGTAAGTGGTTAGAGCGTTGACTGTACTTAAGCCTTCCCCGTACTGTTTGGGTTCGTATCCCATCGAGGCGCATAGGTTTTCACATTTTGGTCAGTATGAATAAATCTGAATTCAGAACAACTGGTCCGGTTTTTGGAATTTATTCTTTTGAGAATATGAATTATAAGCAAATTTCAGCTCGTATGTTCAGCCGGTCGCTGTGGAAAATTAATATTTCGCAGATATGCCTTTTTAAATTTCCTACGCTGTATACAAAAGGCACTTAATGTACGCAACAGACGGCACTGAAGTAGAGGTTGTGTGAAACACCAGGAATGAGAAAGTGGATTGAGCAACATAGGAGGTCTACTACTTGTAAGTTCAAATGACGGCAAAATTGAGTGATGTGTTGAAGGCCTGTTAAATTTCCACGACGATGGAAACATCAGTTTATGGCATTCAGACAAAAACACCCATGTGAAGAGTGATTTGATGTCAAGCCAAATGTCAAAATGCGTTATGCGCTTGCAGCAACAATAGCATATCCATTACTCGAACAAAAGTGGTAAAAGTACCTCCCATGCGAAACCACAACATTCTGATCACAGCCTGTATGCTCTAGGCCTGGAACAACAGTGGAAGGATATTTAATCTAGTGGTGCGCTACGGCCAGCCGATGTGAAGTCGAGGTCTCGGGCCAGGAGTTGGAGCTGACTGACTGACAACAACAACTATGTCAAAGACGGACGTTTTCGCCTTTGAATTTGTCGGTCGGAACCTCCTATTAATGGGCTAAATAACCAGCCCAGAGCATTCAGGTTCTTCGGTTGAAGATAGAGTGTTTCGAAGCTAATTTAATCATAAACAGGAAGAATAGAACGAAAATCCCTAAACGTCCGCTAAACAGCAAGACGCCTGTCCGTCTTGGTCACGCAATCGGTATACACACTTGCGTTTAGGGTCTGTAAATTAAGCACTCTCAAAACCCACTTGATAGGTACAGTCTCATAGGAAAACATATGTTCATGATACGTTTGTGTCACGGAATAGGGCAGAAAACAAAAGCTTCAAAGTACCGCTGCGATCAGGCGATCACACGTATGCAAGGGCGTGAAACCTTGTAGTCTGGATGTCATAGCTTCCTCCTTAGCACACCTGTCTTGGATGGACGCTTCACTGTGTAAAACTGACACGACTAATTATACACCTGAGTTTGGAAGGGTTGAGACCTCAAGGATTCAGATAATACATTAGATGAACCAGGTTCTGCGGGATGTTTGTGGATGAATTACTTGACTTTCAGACTGTCCAAGTTTCTGCTATGTGATTATGTCATCAAAATTCTCAAATGTCTTTCATTGCGTACGACCTGGTTCCATTAATGCTTGTGGTCACAAACTTGCATTTTTGTATTTTTACACAAAAGAAGAGGTTGTAAGTCTTAGAAATTGAAATCGTCAGCTGCTGATAAATGATCAGGGGTTTAGGGATGGTGTATTCAAAGTTCGCGCATTGCATTAAATTGGAGTCTGAATATGATAGTGTACACAGATTGAAGTTCAAAAATCTGTGAAAAATATTACGAGCTGTCAAATAAAAGGTTTCCGCTTGAGTACATTAACGTAACTAAGTCCGAAGTTCACAATGCGTGGGTTCTGCCGGAGATTTACTGTAAACCTATAAATCGGGAGCTACATAGCTCTCCAACTGCGATGTTCATTCTTATCTAGCTGGGACGACATTTTAACATGGCTTCTTTAAGCCATATTTAGAGCAGGGGTAGACTTCAAACTTTGGGATAAAATCCACTTAAATGGTTTGGACATCTTTGCTCTGCCCGCGGAACCCCATATTAGCAAAATATCAGAATAATTCTTAAAGGGTAACGTCCGTTCTGCTGATTTGATAATGCGCAGCATTAGTGGGATATTAAATGTAACAAAAATCCTCAATGAACAGCGGTATTTATGCGTTAAACTTAAATCTTACAAAAATAATCAGTGCCATGAATCAAGTAACAGACTTTAAAGCTCGGTTTGAGAAGGAAAAATTCTGAGTTCGTTGGGGTGCGTGACTTTCACCCGAGATATTTGCAAATCAGGGTAGGACAGGGGAATTAGCGTTCTCGTATTGCAGATAGACTTGCGTTAAATTTAAGGGAGGTTAGCCTGGGGATAGTGCTAGGGTTAGAATAAGGAGGGTTAGTTTTGAGATTAGGGTCAGGGTCAAATTAAGTAGAGGTAAATAGGTGCCTCCCGACATCTATCGCGTGACCACCCGTCCTACAGGTGGAGGGCCTATTCTCCTGTACAAACCAAATCTACCGTTACAGCATACCTTAAATTATATAATTGCAATGATGACATTTACAACATGAACCTCATTCGTTTTTTAATTTCTCGTCTTTACGGTGCAGGAATTACCACTGTTATGGATAACAGAATGTCAAAATTTCTGGATAAGGGTCGGTTATATTTAATAAGATGCCAAGGACGTAAGAGTGGTGCCTTTCCTGCCACTAACTATGCATTCGGAAGAAACGTGAAATGCTGAATAAATGAAACCATCTCTTTGCCGATGTCTTTTTCCACCATTTTAAAATACTGTCTGTGCTTCAAAGATTAAAAGCAAATTTTATACTTTAAGTTATAAAATGCAAAACTAGGATCAAACGTTTTTGGTGCATTACGTTTCACACTTCCATAATCGGTTTCAGTGTATAGTTATCTCTAGAGACGAGTTTTGATTACTTCCAGCAAGCGAATGTAATATTTTTTGTGTTGTTATGTCACAGTTTAAACTTATTTTCCATATTTAACAAACCTAAAGTAAAATAAGTGACTTGCTTTCTAAAAGACTAAATTTTGCAGACGAATTGATGATAGAATGCATCCTCCCAGGTAACTCCGTAAGCATTTGACGTGAACTCAAGAAATACCGCAAGGAAATTGTAAATATGCGCTACGGAGGCAATCTTAAATTTCTCAAAAGTACAGGACCAGGAGGTCCATCAAAACTGTCGCCACAAAAAATACTCTGGACGCTAATGTCTTAAAGTCAGGCGGTTTTAGTCGTAAGCACACTTTTCCTAACAAATAATGGTTCATGATAGGCCGCTCCCTGATAGGTTTTGGTTTTTGTTGGAAAACGATTCGGCCTGACTTGACTAAGACGATTAGAACGTGAGAGTTTTGTCGTGTCTGCCAACTATCCGGTTTTCTTTCTAAAAAGACCAACCATCTTGCCGACGCGTCTCTTCAAATTCTCATGAACAAGTCGCAAAACGACCGCCTGACAGGTTTAAAACACCTGAAAGCAGATGAGCATCAGCACAGCAAGATTTAGGGCTCGTACATCATAGTCATGTGCATATACCGACAGACCACGACATCGGATCGATTCTCGAACGCACCTACTTGGAGCTTGGTTGGCCGGACAATCAAAATACCCGCACATGCCGAGGCAATTCACTAACAGGGGCGGTGCAGTGTTCAAAAGTCTAAATTGTAGCCGTTATACTTGAGTGGAGCAGAACTGGCTACTTAACAATCCTTTGTTCAAATTTCAGTTTTTAATCACCTTAAAAGTATTGTGTCAACTTGGAGTAAACTATACAGATTGAGGCCTTACAGACTCAGGCCGAAAGTTGGCATGAATAAGGGAGTCGAAATCCATAAGCATTAACTGGATGATCATGTAATATTCATAAACTGCTATTAACCATAGGGTAGCGGAGAAACACGCTTGTCCAGGCATTTAGCTAGTACATGTACTGTCAGTATGGTGGATCATCTAACATTTGTATCTTACTGACTGCATAATGACAGCCCATGAATTTTACGCGGTTATCCTGCTGAAGCTGGTAAATTCCGTCTCTTATACTGATACAAACTAGCGGACTGAGCCTACAAAGCTTTGCTCAGGGGGATTTACTCCGAATTTGCGCATTTATTTCTAAGGAAAGTAAGAAGATGGAAATTAAAACCATGCTATGTGCCAGAGAACAAACGAGGAATGCAGGGGGACATACCCTAAGAGCTGCGTCTCACAGCGGCAGAAAATCGGCGTAACACGTGTTTGGGCTTTCAGCTAGTATTTATGCTCTCAGTACGATATACCACGCAATCCTTGTCCGAGTACTGCAGCGCACAGGAACTATCACGGTGACAGCGACAGTTCTTAAACAGAGAAATTACTGCAAGTTTTCGCTCTTACTCCAAACGCTGAAGAGTACAACGGAAAAGGACATGTAGCGCAGTCAGGACCTCTTCGTTTTCGGCTGCTCTAACCTCGGACTGACCGTTACCATGGAGATGACAGTGATCTTGCACCAACTGACATCAAATGTTGACTACACCGAAGCCAGTATAAACGTAAGTGGAATTCTCCTAACAGCAGACATGATGGACCAGAGCGTGTCTACGAGTACAACACGGAGATCTTACTCAAGCACCCACATAACCAACTCGGAAACCTTGGAGGACCTTACTTAAGATCGACAGGTATGGTGCACTGCCTTAAAGGGTGGAGAAGCCACCAGAGAAATCGACCGCATAGTCGTTGCCAAGACGAGGTGCAAAATTCGCAAAGCTTGGGCACTGCGGATTATTGACGATAGTACCCAATCCCTGCCATCATGTCAACAGTAAACGGGCATTGCAACCCGCGGGCGATTTGCGTATCTAGTAATGTGTCGATACGACCGAACTCGCCTCTGATCGCTTAACGCACAACCGTTACGGGACGTTAGGAATAGTGGCTTGGAAGAATGTCGGTCGGCAGGATAATTCGGTCCGCTTGCTCAGTCCTCTCTGTATATGTGGGATGACTGGCTGGAGCATCGCGAGTCCTACTCAATGACTTCTTCTTAATGTGTCTTCTTTGGTACTCCCACGCACGTGTGATTAGAGCCGTCTCTTATTTTGTTTAAACTTTTGCACAATGTGCGGGGACTAGGTCGTGTGTGGCATGCGTCGACGGGCTGTTTTCCATTGTCAGCCACTGTCCCCAAGCCCACCTATAGTCGTCTTGATGTTGTCTGGTCATCTGAGCCAGAGTGGAGACAGAGTGGCGTGTGCTGCCCAATGCTGCTTCACTGTAAACTAATTTGCGGGCAAATCATCGGTGCTGCGCTCACTCCGTGTTATAGACGGTGGTTGTCACCGTTGGCAACGGTCAATCTCTTCTATCAGCGGGGAATTGCACGGAGCTCCTTTGGCTGCTGAAAATCCTGGAGTGCATGCTATTGCAAACCTTGTATCAGATTTGGTTCTGAAATACAGACTGTCTCCATCCACTGCGGCGTGCAAGGATGGTGAATCGATGAAGCAGTAGAGCCTACTTCTGCGAAAGTCAAGAATTTTAGTCGAACACAAACGCAGTTGGAAACTGAACGTTTTGGGAGCACACCAGTGTGGTTATCACGAAGTGAAGCCGGGATGTCTCGGTTCCTCCCTTTTCTTTTTTCTCCCTTTCACCGAGAGCTCAGCAGGTTGGCAAGTCCAATTATTATGAATTCCCAAAAGCCGGACGCAACAATGCCTGGGACATAGGGCCGCATTTGAGAATCTGTCCGTGATATAAGTCCGTGTATTGGGCCTGACTACTAACAGCAAATAAATAAAGGATGGTCTTTTCAAGATGCCTGACTCATTTCGTAAACTTATCGAGCCTACATGATCGTGGTTGTCAGCTTTTGCGAGAGTGCGTTATGTTGGACACAAAAGAGGGATCAGAACAAACATAGTGTGGTCACTAGACAGGTTGTACTCGCACGTCTTGGGGTCAGTGGGTGCGGTCTCGATTCTCTTTGGTAGGACTTGTAAAGCGTATCAACCAAACTTCATCAACTTTAAAGGCGATGTCGACAGTCACTCCGTCTCTGTTCTGTTATTATTTTCTCAAAGCAAAAATGAAAGCGTGGACGACTTTGATTGTACTATTGACCACCAATCATACAGAGCATGTTTAGATTTTCCTCCTCATTCTCGGGCATACCTATCTTAAGTTATCGAAGACAATCGCATTTTGCAGAACATACATCATCCTTTACATGGACTTCATCGAAATAGGTTCGCTCATAATAGAGCCCCTCTAAGCTGTATTATGGGTTTTGGTTTTCTGCGGTGACCAGTTTAAACTGCTTTTGTGGAAGGTCAATTTGGACGCAACTATCTTGGTTTGTTTAAACAGTGACAAAGAGCCAAATGCAAGGAAAATTGTTTCTTCCTTTTGAAGGGACCTTTTAATTGTAAGGCGCAATTTCAAGGAACGTCAAGGGACCACAAGAGTGATATTGCTTTTTGAGTGTCTTTGCAATTACAAACCCCTCTCTACTTCTCCCACAGATACCAAAAGTGGGTGGTTTGTGATGGGAACAGAAGAGTTTCAAAGGTGCATTTAAACGGTAATGGGGGCATAAGGCAGTAAGTTTTTTTAGTGTTCCTATAATAATGGGCTCGCTCGTTAGCTTAATATGCCCTGGTATCCATTGGAACCCACGGTAGTAAGAATTTCCCTCACAGATGCACGCCCATTTTGATAATACGGACCACCCTCGTTTTGCATGCTTCCGACAGCTTTTTTGACGCCATTTTCAAAAGAAAAGACTTTACTAACCCATGAAAAATAGTTTTATGTTAAGGCAAAAGCTAGTATAGATGACGGGAAAATTGTAGCATAGTTAATAAGTAAAGTTAGGGGACGTCAAAAGAGCATAAAAGAGTACTAAGGGAAGTTTAACTGCTGCTCTTCTTAGTGAACTTCCATTAAAGGTACTTCAACGAGAACTCAAAGCTGTTTTAGGACGAGAGACTACTATATTCATTAATAGTGCATTAACTTGCGGTTCGAGATTCAGATAGACTGAGTTGTGTGCCAAACACATTCCGTGTATCCTTAGACGAATTATACTAGTGTGTAGCAAGCTCCTTCATATCCGCGTTTTACTAGACTGAAAAGGTCATGCTAATTTGACGTTTTTCTTGCTGGTTAAGCAAGAATATTAAGCATAATAAGTTTCATTATTCGTTTAAAATTATATTTTTGCCATTAACGATTGAATTTTTTAAGGTAGACTGAAAAAACCTCAAAACGAATTTCTTATGAGGTTACTTAACCTTACGACAGGGGATGTGCAGTCAATGGACTCTATCATTTATCAGCGTCACTCACAATTTCTGAGAATGATCCAGAGGGATAGTCTGCTGGAGACAACGAATGACAGTTGGACCGTCGTTTGCGTCGATGGTCATCGTGTGACCAGCATTATGGAGGGCGTAGGAAAGGTAACTTACGCGTACGCTAGGTCATAATGATAGTTGACCGGAGGCGGGATCGAACGAAAGCGGCTAGCGCGGCGCCTAGGGCTGCCACTGCACCCTCCGTGTAGGGAATTTGTTATGGGTGTGCAGCCGAATAACATGGTCAGTACCCAGATTTGGAAACCTAATTGATATAGCGCAACTCCCTCGCGGCCGGCTGACTTCTGTTTGGAGGAAAAACTAATAGTTTGCAAGCGACAGACCTGTGTGAGCGAGAAGCTTTATTTTACCTCAGAAGCGTGCAGATGTTTGTCCCCCCTACTGTCAGCAGTCAGCGGAAGTGAGAGACAGATTTAAGTCATGAGTGACTGCTATGGAAAAATGGTGCTTATCGACCTATCACTAGTGGTGAGTTGGACATGTAATCCTCAGCTGGTTGAATCGGCAACAAAAGTTTTCAGTCACCTCTAAGTACACCAAGAGTTAGCGTCTTGGAAGCTTTCACATTGGACATTAATTAGATGCCCGCTGGCACCACTTGTTACTTCTAAAGGTGACATCTCCACTTGAAAACGATCATTTGCCTTACTGGGCCACCAAGGAAGTTATGGCCACGGTCCCCACCATGGACAATTACTGATTCACAACACTTATACCCAGGGATTCTCTCAGAAACAAGCGCATGCGGAAAAACGGGAAAAGGTATGAAACTCAGAAGTTAGCCGGTGCCCGTTACATTAAGGGCTTCGACAAGGCTGTCGCCGCTCTTCCTAGCCCTAGTGTAGTAGCAACTCATGCCTACTCAGCCGCCGTCGCAGAAGCCATAGCCGACTTTGCATAACGGCCTCAACCGGAGTTTGAATCGAGCATTTTGCTCAACCAAAACACTTTCACCTCAACACATTTGAGTTCGTATAATTTCCGCCTAGAGTTTGAGATTTGGGTAAGGCTCTGTACATTGTAAATTGACGACGTTTCGGCAACTATCTTTTTCGTATAATACGTACGCATGTTTTGGAATTATTGACTTTGCTGTAGAAAGTGGGGCCAACGACCCGGTTGTTGTTAATCGAATCGTTAATGGAATCGTTGTCGTCCGGCGGGGCCTCGTAGCTCAGGTGGTTAGAGCGTTGGCTGCGCTAAAGCCTTCCCCTTACTGCGTGGGTTCGAATCCCACCAAGGCGCCGAGTTTTCCACAGTTGGGTCAATATGAATTATTCTCTGTCATGCGTACCGGTAACTTATCAAATCCCCACTATATATCCAGCAAATAATTCATTCATGAATTGCCCCAAGTCATTTATGTTTCAACCTAGTTCAGGCTTCCCACCGCTTGAGGCCAATTGCCCTCAGGTACGTCAATCTACCTCCTTTGACTTCCAACCTAGACCTGGTTTCCCAGACTTTTAGTCTTATAGCTGTCTACCCTCCCCCACCAGCCTCTACTTACCTTCTAGGCTCTCTCCTCCTCCCCTTCCTCCACAATTGAACTACCAACAAGCCTATCCATGTTCTAACTTCCCTAGCATTCCAATGTTCGAAAACTATATCCCCACATCCTTTAGGTCTCATACTCAGTCTTCTCCTGTTGACTCCCCGTCCGTCAATAACTCTAGACTAACTGGCACTTATTCTCCATGCATCATTAATTCATAGCTTTCCTATCCGCCTCCTAATTTTTCTTAAATATTTCGACAAGGACATTGATGTTCGAAACACATTAGATATTGTATTATTGCAGGCCAGGTCTGTTATAAACAAGATGGCCTAAATCAGAGCCAGTGCTCTCCAAATGACGCCTGATATTATATGTGTAACAGTATCTCGGACCCATTCTGTAATTCCTGACTCTTCCCTTCTCATCGATAACTTCGATTTTTACCGCCAAGACCGCCCGACTGGGCGTGGGGGCGGTTGTCTTCTTTATCTTTGATCCAACCTAAAGCACCCTCCCTACTACTTGGATGTTTCCTCATTTACGGGAAACTTCTGCTTTGCATCCGTTATTCTTTCTTCGAAAATAAAGGTAGTTATTGGTTGTATCTATAATCCCCCAAATTCTTTAGCCAGTCATGATTCACAACTCTGTGCAATCTTTAAATTAATTTCGTAAGCTGCTTTTGATGTTAAAATAATCACTGGGATATTAACCTTCCTGAAATAGACTGGGTTTCCAATATCGGTCCACCTAGATTTCAGCCTTTCCAAGATATTGTCAATTTTCTAACTAGTCCCAACTGGTGCGCACTCCAACAAGAAATAGTAACATTTTAGATCTAATCTTTACCAATGGCATTGCTCCTCTTTATGTTGCTTTAAAAGAAGACCTCTTTGACAGTGACCACGTATTAATTCATTGTTGTTTACCGCTTGCCTTTTTAAAAAAGACCACCACCGTTCGGACTTACATGAACTACGACTGCGTAAATAACGACTTAATAAATAACTATATTAGATCTTTGGACTGGTGTGGCTTCCTTCCCTGTAACGATGCAACCATTCTTCGTGACGTCATGTCCAATGTTTCCAAGGACATCCTAGAGTTTGTGTCGCGTAGATATCTCAAGCCTAATTCTTCAGATTTCCTTGTTCCTCATTTTCTTCACAGCAGACCAAAACGTGGAGACGGCAGCTGCGTGACCTACCCACTAGTTCCTTATCAGTTCATCTTAGAATGGCAGAGATTTTTGAGATGGCCTCAAGGATGCGCCAAGCGCGCGACAGACAAAGAGAATCACTTGCCCTCAGTGACTCGAACCCTGGCAAATCGGTCGCCAACATTTTCCGTCATCGGTCCTCCTCTAAGCGTGGTCACGAACTTCCACCCCTGCCAAACGATAACAATATCTTCCTCATCGATGACAATGACAAGGCGGAGTTGTTTGGTGCCTTCTCCGTAGAACACCTTACTACTGAGTCAGATCCAGTCCCTATCTTTTGCCCACTTTCAGATAGGGCACTGAGTTCAATCGATGTCTCCTCAGATCTCATTAAGAAGTACATAAGTATTTTCAAAAACGCATGCTGCTCGGGAACGGATGAAAGTCCAAATTCGATTACTAAACAGGCATGCGACCTTCCCAAATTGCTAAGTTACTTACTCTCGGTTTATATTGCAAAAATGATTATTTCCTGAAACATGACAGACGTCAATTATCATTTCTGTCCCCAAGTCTGGATCTCATGAAACTGCAGTCCCATGTTTATAACTATCGGGGCGTACAAAAACACCGTCTGTAGCAAAGCTTCTTAAAGGGATAATTTTCAATGAAATTTCCATCTCTGGAAACCTACACCCGGACTTGTACGAGATAACCTATCTTCGTTCAGTCGCCTCTCTGCAACAGCACTGAGAAATCCCCAAAACCTACGAAAGGCTGGGTCCTTTACCTCATATCTTTGATCTGGTTGAAAATTTGTCTCATACCTGTAAGAAAACCGTTTGAAACTTATAAAGCCGGTAACGTTATTCAGAGAAATGTCCTCAAAACACGATGTAAAGTGTCTGTCGCAGACGGGAGTCGAACCCGGGCCGTCGCTCGGCCAGAACACCGTCGTTACCACTAAGCCACTGACTCGCTCCAGTGTCGTCAAAACAAATGATACATTATGTATTACGCATGATATTAATGACTGCAGTGTTGGACGTTCTGCTGTCAGACCAAAGCAAAAAGTCTAGTGACGTTGGGGGATGTCACATACGACGATGAAATCTGTACCTCATGTTTCGGACTCATCCATAAATTTTCGAAAATGGAGGGGGAGTTAAAAGGTCTAAAAATGGAGGTAAAAAATTGAAGGAAGCCTACTCACCACTTACGTGAAGAGAAGAAGTCGACGAATTCGGCAATCCAGAATCCGAAAAAAACATATGCAACCACGGCTTCTTTAGCCATATCAAACGCTGAAATTGACGACGGTTCGTCCAGACAACTAGACACAGTTGAATGTCAGTCTCTTAGGCGAGAAAAGGACCAGCCAAAACGAACTCAGAGAACAAAAAAACATCTCAGAAAAACAACGCACACATCTGTACGGTCCAAAAAGACGAAGACCGCTTGCGTATATGCGGACCAGCGGAGGAGGGCGACCAGGAGGCCTACGAAGGACAGCCGGAGGCTCCCAACTATGTTGAACAATAAAGATATCGGAACACCTTGTGGACCGAATATTGAAGAGGAGGCTTCGAAAGTAACTGAGGTAAGCTTTTTCGACGAGCACCTCGGAACCACAGAAGGCAGGGTTATCAACACGAAGATGAATGAATCGTACACCGATCTCAGTTTCGCTAGCCCAATATCTAGTTCATCCGAAGCCAGCGAAACAAGTAAACTAAAGAAGAACGCTCAGTCGCTCAAAAGCTGTGCGACGACAACGAGCACTAGATTCAGTCGCAACCAAAATGTAGTTATAAAAGGATTACCCGAATCATCGGGGACAATTCCAAAGGAGAGAGTGATGCATGACTTAGACCTTCTTCAAGTGTATGCGAAATCTTTGTTAAGAGACGATGAGTCACGTAATGTTTTCAAAGCATTCCGACTAGGGAAGACTCAGTCAGCATCCGGTTCAACTTCCCGTCCTCGACCCCTAAAAGTCATTTTGGAGACTGAAACACAGGCTCAGCTCCTGTTACAAAGAAAATCTTCTCTGCGGGGTCAGCATCCTGAAGTTTTTTTTTCAGCCGGATTACGAGCCAAAAGAGCGAATGAAAATGAGAGAGCTGATGATGGAGCTGGAAAAGCGGAGAAGCAGTGGCGAAACACACCTACAAATAAAGAACAGACAAATAATTCAGGTCAAAAGGACATTTCTCTGGCCGAAGGCCGTCATTCTGACAGCCTAACCGATGCAGAGGTGCCAACTCCTGAGGCTGCTCGCACCAGTGGCCACTGTCTAGAAATCTATTACACTAACTGTCAGAGTCTCCTCAACAAGCTAGATGAACTCAGATTACTAGTCTCTGAACAGAAGCCACACATAATTGTCCTAACAGAGACATGGTTGACTGAGGAAATAAGTAGTAGCGAAGTCAGTATTGAAGGCTACCAACTGTTCCGTTGTAACAGATTTCAGCGTAGAGGTGGAGGCACAGCGATTTATGTGTCAAATGTAATTCCGTACTGTCAGCGAGAAATATACGATGAGGTACCGCGAAATTTTGAAATAACTTCATGCAAGATATGTATCAAACAATTACCGACACTGAACCTGTGTGTTGTCTATCGGCCTCCTGGCTCGAATGAAATCGCCGATATGGAATTACTTAGTGCATTGGATTTGTTATGTAAGCAGGAGAACTTACTACTTCTGGGTGACTTTAACGCTCCAGGAATAGACTGGAACATTCCCTTAACAAGCGCCTCGTCCACGTCATTTGACCACAAGCTACTACAACTCTCCCTGAATGAATACTTCATTCAACACCTAAAATTCGCAGCAAAAGTGAGAGAAGGACAACAATCTAACTGCTTAGATCACGTTTCCAGCAAAGAAGAAAGAGTCATAAGAGAAGTTGATGCACAACCTCCATTCGGTTTAAGCGATCACATTGTCTTTACCTGCGTGTGCTCTCTCCTATCGAACCAACAGCCAAAAATCAAGAGGCGCAGAAATATTTGAAAGGGCGACTTTAACCCAATGAGACATACTCTTTTGAAGGAAACCTGGTTGGTTAACACAGAAGATTCAGACGAATTGCGGCAGTACTTTCGCGGGATTATAGAGCGTCTAATTGATATCCATTGTCCAATAAAAATGACAAGACCATGTGCGCGACCGCCGTAGGTCAATCCGACGACAAAAAAGACCATGAAGAAGAAACAGAGACTCTGGAAAAAGTATTTGCAACTTCGAGATCCAAGGTCATTCGCCGAATATAAGGATCAGCGCAATAAATCCGCAAACAAATACGGGTTGCTAGAACTTTTTTCGAGCGCCAACTAATAGCAGAATCCATTACATGTCCCAAGACGTTTTACGGTTACATCGGCAGTAAGCGGAAACATAGGGACGAAATTGCGTGTCTTAAGGGTAGCCTCGGAAACTTATTAGTTGAAGGGCCACAGAAAGTGCGATTACTGTCTCAGTTTTTTCAATCGGTTTTTAACGGGGGAGTCCTCAGAAGACAATCAGCAGTTTGAAATGGACCGAGACAGCCGGCAGCTTCAAATGCGCCAAGATATTGCCGCCATTGAAACCGTCGCCTTTTCCGCCGAAGAAGTAAGATGCGTCCTCAGTCAAATAAAAGCAGATACATCTCCCGGACCCGAGGGATTTCCCGGCCTTATACTTAAGGAGCTATCAACGGAGCTGTCAAAGCCTCTTTCGACTCTCTTTGAGCCGTTAATGAGAACAGGAAGGCTGCCCTCACAGTGGAAGACAGCTAACCTCGTTCCCTTGCATAAGAAAGGTAGCAGGATGACAATGAGCAGCTTTAGGCCTATTAGCTTAACTTGCCTCCCTTGCAAAACGACGGAAGCTCTATAAAAGAGCGCTATACACCAATTTTGTGAAGAAAATAACATCTTTCAGGATTTTCAAAATGGCTTCTGGGGAGGACGTTCCTGCCTCTCAAATCTGCTAGCTTGTCTGGAAATCTGGACCAGGGCTCTAGAAGAGGATTCTGAGGTCGATGTCGTGTACATCGATTTCTGCAAAGCTCTCAATACCGTTCCGCACCAACGTCTTCTTCACAAATTGAGCGCCATCGGCATCCAGGGAGATCTTCTGAACTGGATTAGGGCGTTTCTGGTTGGTCGGAAACAACGTGTCTGTATCGTAGATGATATGACGGAATGGGTGAACATGACCAGTGGTGTGCCTCAAGGCTCAGTTCTGGAACCATTGCTCTTCATTCTTTATGTTAACGACAACCTTCAGGAACTCGACTGCGGCAAAATAATGTTTGCAGACGACATTATGCTCTAAAAAGTCATTAATGGAACCGGGTGATCAGAGATCCCTTCAAGATAATCCGCACAGACTGCAAGCGTGGTCGAAGAAATGGCTTCTAGATTTCAATGTGGAGAAGTGTGCCATCCTTCATCTGCGTCCACCCAACTCTCATTCAAATGAGAGCCTGAGGGCATATCACCTGAAAGATATAAGGCTCCCTGAAGAATCCTTACAGAAGTATCTCGGGGTTTGGATACAGAACAACCTGAAACCAACACGGCAGTGCTCCAAGGCTGCAAAAAAACGTCATGGGAGTGTTGCATGCAATCAAAAGGGCTTTCGTAAACTTTGACCAAGACCTTTTTGGGAGAGTTTACGGCCCTTTTGCTCGGCCCCACTTAGAATATGGCATAGAAGTAGGACGGCCATGGTTAGTAAAGGACCAAGCATGCCTCGAACGGGTACAACGGCGTGCAACAAAGCTGGTAAACGATCTAAAAAGCCAATCCTATACAGAGAGACTAAATTGCCTTAATTTATTCCCTCTGTATTACAGGCAACAAAGAGGGGATCCTTTCTTCGTCTACAAGATAATATATGGCCTTGAGCATGGGCTTAAACTTGAGGACATGTTTCAGTGGCATCTTCGTGGTCACTCGATGAAGTTACGGACAACAATGTCCAGGCTGAATCTTCGTTCTAAATTTTTCACGCAGAGGATAGTGGAGAAATGGAACGATCTCCCTCAGTCAGTCGGGGAGGTTACGTCTCTGAAACTCTTCAAGAAACGCTTGGATGATTATTTGTGTCCCCTGTTTTCTCTCGACAGTCTGAATCTGAACTAATACCCCACAACCCCGCAAGTATTTTCTCTGATACAATGCTACTCAAATGAATCAAGTACTGTTTTAATAGCGAATATTTTTATTGTTCGTGTGCAGTTATTTCTAACGAGCTGACATGTAATCAATAGGGTTTTCAAAGACTTTGCCTATTATCCTTACGAAATCAACTAACAAACTAAACTTGACTCCAGTCTAGTTACTTGACTTCTGAGCTCTAATCAGCATGGATTTTTATCTGAACGATCCTGCGAAGCTTTCCAGTTGGCATTTCCTAATTTAATCACTTCTCTTCGTAATGAGCGGCAGTCAGTGGTAGTTATCCTTTTTGATCCTAGCAAAGCCTTTGAAAAGTTGCTCCGTAGACGTCTTTTGGTAAAATTTGAAGTCCTCGGCATTCGGCCTTCTCTACTCGACTTTATCAGGTCCTATCTATCCAACCGATATCCGAAAGTCATGGTCGGTAATAGCTACTAGACACCTCACTCGATCACGAGTGGCGTACTTCAAGGTACGTTTCTGGGTCCGCTATTCTTCCTTCTGTACATAAATGATATTTCGACTGAACTCGGAAATTCGCAAACTTTTACTTATGCCAATGACGTCAAGTGTGTTTACCCATATTTTACGGACACCGCAAACGTTTGTGTCGACAAAATTAATGTCGATTTACTACGCTTAAGCAGATGAAGTTCAAGGTGGTTGATGGGTTTTCATCAGCTAAGTGTAGTTTCATGTGTCTTGGTCCTGCCAAACTTCCTGGTCCCATAATTTTTCAGAATAACCCACTTTCAGAATGCTTCACCGCAAAGGACCTGGGTTTAATTTGTTCAAATGAACTTGTCTTATTACCTAATGCAGATAGAATCTCTGTCAAACCGCAAAGATATGTCGATTCATATCGCACAATATTTTCCTTTCGGAAATGAAGCTTAGACTTCGCTGAATGTTCGTTCTTCCTGTCCTCGAGTACTGCTATCCTTTCTCTGGTCTAACGAACGCCTGTGACCGTCATAAGATCGAAAATGTTCAGAGGGTTTTCATCCGGAATCTGTTCTCTCAGGTCGCATGCGGTATTTCTTATACTCAGAGATGTCAGATGGCGAAAATTAATTTTTTGTGGTTTAGAAGACTCGAAGCTGTGCTTTGCTTCCTTTTTCGCTTTAATTCTAGCTCCAAACTTCTGCTCATTGACAATCTCTCCGAGACATCGGTCTTATGCTACGCACAACTCCTCCATGATGATCCGCGCCTTTTTGCACTACATCTAAGCGGTCCCTCTTCTTTGCTTCCAAATATGCCTTCCTTTGGAATAATCCTCTGCCAGAAATCAGATCGTCGCCTAAGTTACTGGTATTCATAACGAAATAACGCGAGTACTTTACACCGGAAAGTGGAAAGGCACTTTTGACTGCCACATTTTCGAACTCTCAGCCTCTTGACGTCGAGAAGGGTCCTCTTGGCATTTGGAAGTAGATTTAGTGTAAACCCTCGCTTATATGCAAACCAATTATATGAATCACGATTGGCTGAGCGAACGAGCTATTCTTGCGGCCAAGAACGAAGATGTTCTCAAACTTAGCGATATTACGCAGTCTGAGATTCAAAGCGAGTCAGTCACATACACGTCCGTCGACACTGCAGTGGAAGCAGATGAGGCACTTAATTATCCAACAGAAATGTTGAATTCACTTGATCTGCCTGGGATGCCGCCGCACGTATTGCAATTGAAAATAGGCATGCCGGTTATCAGTTTGCGTAATATTAACCAGCCAAAGCTTTGCAACAGCACGCGGCTTGCAGTAAAATCATTAGTGCGAAACGTCGTGGAAGCAACTATCTTGACAGGACCTTTCAAAGGTGGACATGTCCTCATTCCTCGCATTCCACTGATTCCAACTGATATGTCATTTTAATTTAGGTGACTGCAATTCTCTATTCGATTAGCGATAGTAATCACAATCAACAAAGCTCAGGGTCAATCTCTAGAATTGTGCGGTTTGGATCTGCAGACGGGTTGCTTCTCACATAGCCAATTATGTTGCGTGCTCCAGAATCGGCAAACCAGACAACGCAACGACGAAACATATTGCATACCCAAAGCATTATGACATCAAACATATTAGAAACGCACCCTCCTCCTTTTTCTCTCTTTTTTATTTCATCGGCGTAAGCCACAGCAACACGTGGCTGGGTACAGGTAGTCTATATAAATAAAAATGGAAGTGTATTTCTGTGTTTTATAGGGAATTTCCGAAAGTACTGCATCGATTGCTGTGAAATTTTGATACAACCTGGCCTGAGCATAGAGGCGAGTTTTTTATGTCTACCGTCATAGTCATGCAGATTGCACGCCTGTAATGGGTAAAGAACTTGATATTTCCTGGCATAACAACGTCCTCTGCTGGGCTAAAAAGCATGGCGGGGGAGGGGATGTCCAGACGCCACGTGGACGTGCCCCACAATCCACATAATGGGGCTGTCACCGCTTCCTCTGGGATTCTCGGCTGTGACCGGATACAGTTAGCACCACCCCTTCACTCCGCCTCGGTCAGCGGGGAAAATTTAACTGTGAATTTCACAGCAGAAAATCTACAACGAGGCGTTAATAATGATTGAGGATGTGTGCGTAGAAATCACAACCAAAGTTCTCAGTCGACTGGGGATGCCATTACCAAAGCGATCTGCTACTGCTTCATTAGATGTGGATTTGCGCCATGAGCAAAACTACAACACGGATGATCTTCTGTCTAATCTACAACCAAGAATCCCTAAGCTAACACTGGGGCAGAATGTTAGTTATTATCTAATAATGCGGACTGTCAATAACCGGATTAGAGGAATCTTCATAGATACTTCAGGAGGGACTGGCAGAACGCTCCTAATAAGATCGACTCTGGCGGCAATTCGATCTAAAAATGGCGTGGCCTTAACTTGCGTCGTCCGGATTAGCTGCGACCTTGCTCTTGAACTTGCAATTCGTTTAAACTCCCACGGCAACATCCGGCATTGGAAAAGTACCGCAGGAATATAAACTTATTATTTGAGATGAATGCACAGTGGCGCACAAAAACGTTCAAGGCATTTGATCGAGCATTCCGAGATTTGCGCGGGAAAACCAAACCATTTTGAGACGAATTGCTACTGCTTGCCGGAGACTTCAATTAAGCACTGCCTGTAATTCCTCGATCGCCACCAGCGGACGAAATAAATGCCTGCCTGAAATACTCGACAGTAGGTGGGCTAACTCACGAAATGTCAACCGAAATTCCGAAAAGTGTTTTCGTTTCGAAAAGATTAATTAAGTAGGGTTGCAAAACCAGTCAGCCTGCAACATAATTATATAATGTTTCAGTTACCTCAGGAAGTCGGCTTTCGAATTAACTTCCTTCCGACTGCATGCAAGAGCTACACTCTGCAAAAAATGACTGCTTAAGTAGCATAAATTTTTCTCATTGAGTTTCGATACCCTTAAAGATTCAATTATATTTCATGGAAAACATGCATAAAAATATTCATTCTTTTGCTCATTCGATAGATAATTGCGTCATCTTTGGTTTTCAAAAACTTTTCCGATTCCCGAATAATTTTGGACCCGCTCTACCGTTACGCTTGGATTTAGGGTTTCCACTCGGCAAGCCGTTTATTTTCCGCGTACGGAAAGCCACACAATTCTCTACGGTACTAAAGGGGGACTATACAGGGTTCATGAAATTAAACAGTGGATATGATCCATACTGTTAACTTTACAAGCCACATTGGTAGATGCAGAGACATGACGATTTATGAACGGCCATTTCATGGTATTTCAAAGTCCCATAATTAGAAACTTGATTAAAATCGAATTATGTCTCTCTGTCGAGTATTAAATTAGAGGAAGACGTAATTATCTACCGAATGAACAAAAGAATGATTTTTTATGCATGTTTTCCATTAAATATAATTGAATCTATAAGGGCATCGAAAATCAACGAGAAAAATTCATGCTGCTTAAGCAGTCATTTTTTGCAGAGTGTATTTCCTGCATGCAGTCGGATGGAAGTTCATTCGAATCACGATTGGCCGAACGAACGTACTGCAACTGAAAATCGGCCTGCCGATTGCTGCGCCCCAAAATATCAACCAGCCGAGGCTTTGCAATGGCACGCGACTTGCAGGAAAAACATTATCGAGCAACGTATTGGAAGCAGC